CCCCGAGTTCCCCACCGCCCCGTATTCCCGAATGCCAAATCCACGTGCAAACTCATTTCCCCTGTGGACACCTGAACGTCATCCGAGTCCCGTCGACACCCCTTATACGAGTCAGAGTGGAGGGTAGTGCGCAGAAAAACTTTGGAGTTAGGAGACTCAAGGTATCAGTCGCCCGCCGCCCCCCAAGTCGCTCTTATTTGCGCTTTTACTTGGGAAGGAAATGTGTTTCGGTCCGCCGCGGGAAAGGGTTGCGCACTGGCATTCACCTCCCGGGACTGCCGCAGGGCGGTCTGGAGCCCGCGGGGCTCCAGTCTCAGGGCCCGGCGGAGAGGCAGAGCTGCCGCAGCAGGTGCGGCGGACGCTAGGACCGCGCGGCGGCTGGCGGCGGCCGCGGCGCTACCTTAAACCCAGCCCAATGCCGCTTCCTGCGCCACTCTGCGTGCAGGCGGGGGATGCGCAGGAGGAGCCGCTCCGCCCGAGTACAACACTACCCGCGAGCCGGCGCGGGCAACACCTGTTCCACGCCAGCCAGGGCGGCACACGAGCTCCCGGACGCGGCTCTTCTCTGCTCGCTGCTCTCCACTCATTCTGAGCCAATGGACATCCGCAGATCCGCTGGAGCGTTCTGGATATCAGCTTCGGACGCCTGAAGTTTTTTTTTTCTTCCTCCTTTTTTGTTTTTTAAAATTATTATTTTTGGAGGGAGAAACCGGGTGGGGAGATTTGGCTTCGCCAAGAACGTGAGATTTCCGCCCCCCCCTCCCTTCCTCCTCTTGAAGGATTCATGCTGATGTCTGCAGAGTCTGATAGAGAGTAAAAACAGCGCATGTCTTCCTGGATCAGTAAATTCTGACGTAGCCCGTGCATCTTAAAAATCCCTATAATAACGCCTAGGTATTTAAGTTGCTATGGTCATTCTGATCTCAAAGCAAATGGAGACACTACGGATTTTTTTCCTCATGACGATTGGATGGGGTGAAGACCTTCGTGCCTGCTGAGAGCTGGGAAGCGATCTATCGAGATCCATAGATATGTTTATAAATATGTCAGTGTGTGAGTATAAAGTGGTGGTTTCTTAGACTATCAGTGGTTTGACCTTGAACCGGCGTCAGTGAAAACAGCATATTACTTTTATTTATGCATTTAATGGATTGAAGAAAAGAACCCTTTCCCCCCCCTCCTCACCTCTCTCTCTCTCTGCAACCGCAGTACAGGGAGGGGAGTTGGATATATACCTCGCCAATATCTCCTGGGTTTGACACCATCATTATTGTTTATTCTTGTGCTCCGGAGCCCAGTCTCCCGATGGCTCCCCTAGGCGAAGTTGGGAACTACTTCGGTGTGCAGGATGCGGTACCGTTTGGGAATGTGCCCGTGTTGCCGGCGGACAGCCCGGTTTTGTTAAGTGACCACCTGGGTCAGTCTGAAGCCGGGGGGCTCCCCCGGGGACCCGCAGTCACGGACTTGGATCATTTAAAAGGGATTCTCAGGCGGAGGCAGCTGTACTGCAGAACTGGATTTCACTTAGAAATCTTCCCCAACGGTACTATCCAGGGAACCCGGAAAGACCACAGCCGCTTCGGTAGGTATACCGTTAACCCTTTAGTGTCCTTGCGAGGAAATGTTCGGATTCTGACTGCAGAGTGGGTGGCGGCTGGCGGGTGGTGGTGGTGGTGCAGACCAGGGCTTGAGCGCTCTCCTCCAGCTCAGGAAAAACAACAAAAAACAAAACACACACAAAAATCCTAAAAAACCCAAACCTCCGGAATTGTACAACTGCTGCTGACACCGATTTGAAAGCCCCCCACCCTCTTTCCCCTTTCTTCTCAAATGGGGGTAGTGGTGGTGGGGCATGCTATATGACTTATAAATGTGACACAAGCCTCTTCAGAGAGATACGTGGGATGCTCGGGCTTAGGGCATTTTCTTTATGAATGGACGAACGCC